AGGAACTTCAATGTGCGGTTGCTGGGGGTCATGGCCTGCAACCCCGGCATGTGCCCTGACTGGGAATCGAACCTGCGACACTTTGGTTTGAAGCTCGAGCTCAATCCACTGAGCTACGCCAGCCAGGGCTTCAGGCACATTTTGATGGACAGCGCTCAGACAAGGAGACAGGCAGCTCCAGGGCTCACGGGAGGCACAGAGCTGGGACCTGAGTGGGCGGAGCTGTGGGCCCCAGGCCCAGCAAGGCAGACAGACAGCGAGCCAGGCGGTGAGGACAGGGCACCAGGTGGTGAGGACAGGGCACCAGGCGGGGCCAGAAAGAGTGACCGAGTGAGTCCGGGCACCACAGCCCAGGGGCAGACGGGGCTGAGGGCCCCACAGGCCCCACAGGCCCCACAGGCACCGGGGATGGCTGGGCAGGGGGGCTCTGGGTCACAGGCAGGTGAGGGTGGGGACCACACCCGGAAGTCCAGCGCAGAGTCTAGGTTCTGTCTAGGTCCCCTCCACCCTGGGGCTGTGGGCACCGGCTCGGCAGTGGGGGCCAGCGACCTCCTGGGCTCCCGGTCCCGATCCGTCGTGGCCCATCTTCTGGAAGCCGCAGGGGCGGCAGACCCTCAGCCTCTGCAATCCACTCTCCTCTAATTCCAAGGGCAGTTGTACAGAGGATGGTCCAGGGATTCTGAGTAAGTTCGGTAAACTGGCGAAACCAGAGTCACAGGTGCCCAGACCCTGAGATGGGGAAGAACAGACCTCACACGGAGGTGGCGGCCACGTGAGCTCCTCCCTGACCCTCCACGTGGTTGGGGACCCCAGCCTGACCTCCGCCCCTGGGTCCTCCACCGTCCCCTGAGGATGTCAGATCCCTGTGCAGACAGGCGACCGGACGCCCGAAGTCTTCACACGGCGAATGTGTGAACAGGGCTCTTCTGCCCTTGCTCCCTGCAGCACTTGCTGACCGCAGCCCCAGAACATTCTGACAGGCTGGGCTCGTCCCACACGAGACCTCGGGGCTACAAAGGGCGGGAAAGGGGACGCTTCGACCTTCTCGTTAGAAAAGAGAACCACTGAGCCGCTGCCTCCGCAGAAGCTGGCGGCCACCTGACCGGACCGAGAACACACCGGTGCTGACGGTGAGGCCACGGCTCCCCGGCGGCCCCCCCTCAGTGCCCCACACTCCACCGAAGATGCTCTTTACGAAAAGTCTTCAGGTCACAGCTTACCTTCCAGTCATAACAGGTGTGCCCGCAAAGTAAGAGCTCTCGGTCTGTACAATGACCTCTCTATTCTTCTTCCACGCGCGACATGGGAATGTATCAGACGATGTCACAGATCCCTTCAGGCATCTATAAATAAACTGCGTGACAAAGGAGAAAGAGAGCTCAAAGGAGAAAGAGAGCTTCAAAATGGAAGAGGTACACCTCTGGCTAGGCCAGAGCCTCTGAAACACGTGTGTCAGGAGAACCCTTGCAGGCCTGCGCCCAGCGCCGTCCTCCTAAACACACCAGCAAGGGAAGCACCTGGCACAGAAGTGTCCGCGCCCACTGAGAACGGCGGCTGCTGGGCGCCCGCTGAGGCCCCGCTGGCCCGGGGGTGGCAGCTGATCCCGGACACCCACCCATCCCAGATCCTGCAGCTCGGGCTCCCACACGGCTGGAAAGTGCCCTTCTCCTCCCGCAGGCTTCTCTCCGGGGCAGTCTGTTACAGGTTCGAAGCAGGAAGAACCGGGAGGTCCTCCTTCTCCTCCGGGCAACAGGCACACAAGGGGTCATTTGTGTCTGGCTCGGCGGGTGCCAAGGAATCACACATGGGGAGGGACTCCCGGACGGCTGTGCAGCCAGCAATCCCGGAGAAGAGCAGACCAATGGGGAGGGGAAGGCACTGTTGCGGGGGGGTCAGGAGTGCTTTCTGCAGAACAAACAGCAGGTCGGTCCCCTGCAGCCCGGGCGCGCCCAGGCCCAGTCGGCCGCAGCCACGGCCTCTCCCAGGCCGATCTGTGTTCCTCGGCCTCCTTGTTTCTGCAAGAGAACTCGCACACTCACAAACACGCCAACACGTGCACACGCGCACACTCCACTTCGTGCTGGGAGACCGTCAGGAGCAGCCTCAGGGGCAGTGACACTGTGGGTTAGTGCGCGCTCACTACCAAGTCCTCCCTCGCCAGCCCGCGCACCTGCGCCTCCGAGGGCCTCGCGGGGAGGGGCGGTCCGCGCGGAGGCACCGTGTTTCCGGCGGCGAGCTCCTGCTGCCGGCTCTCGTTTCATACGAGTTGCTGAGCACCCGTCCTTCCCGAGAGACGCTGCAAATTTCTGTTCCTTCCGTTAAAAAAAATATCAGCAAGTGTTATAGACAAAATATTTTCAGCGAGGTATAAAGTCTTGTTTTAAAGAGAGAGCACATACAACGCGTTTTACATCCGTCCGCTCCGATTTGCACGGCAGCTCTGGGGAAAGGGTTCCACTCTTGTTTCCACTGTGCAGGTGAGAAAACTGAGTCCAAGACGAAGTGAACACCTTGCCCAGCCCAGCCCAGCCACCTGAGTGGCAGGGCTGAGGTTGGAGAGTCAGCATTCTGACACCGGGAGCCGACTCGCAACTGTCATTCACGGTCGTACGTGCGCATCCACTACACACGAGAACTCCGTCCACCAGGGAAAGAGGAGGGCGCTAGGGCCCCGGCTGCCAGGGACACTTCCCGTCTGCAGAGCCCTGGGGGCTGGCGCCGGGCACACTGCCCCTCAGTCCCCTCCCCGGGGAGCAGGGCAGCTGGGCAACTATCAGTCCGCCTGATACTCCCTGAAGTCAGAGTTTAGGGGTTTCATGCTTAGACACAGTTTTTCTGTGACCCTTTACCATAAGGGGGTTCTGGAAAACCAAGTCCAGACACAGAAGCTTTGGAGAGCTACTCTGAATTGTGGCTCTAATGCAGACGCCCAATCTGCACCTTACACGTGCCTTTAATTCTGAGATCATCACAGGCGAGCAGATGGATGGAGACAAGTCCACCCTCACCACCACGGACTCAGGGGGACCTTCACGGGCCTGTTTCCAGGGGACACGAGAGTACACGGCTCCCGTGAGCGCCAGGCAGGCAGGGCCCTGGAGGCAGCCCACCATTCCTTGTGCCCGCAGGGCACCTGCGAGCGGAGAGGCCGGCCTGGAGCCCGGCACTTGCTCTCTGGCCGTTGGAGACAAGGGGAAAACCCGAAGGAAGCCCTCGTCTGGGGCCCAGGAGCGAGCAACGGGGGCACCCACAGCAGCGTCTTTAGACGCGCTCCCACGCGGCAGCAGGGAATGGAGTCCCGGGGGTTCAGAAGAGCAAAGACCTCCGTCGTGCCCGGAGGCGACGCAGGCCTGGAGCGGAGTTCCGGTTTCCTCCGGTTTCCTAGCAACGCACCGCCGCGCACGTGGAGGTGAGAGACCCCCACAACCGTCCCCCACACCCCCGGCGGCTGGAAGAACCCCGCCAGCCCCCGCCCACAGGCGCCTCAGCGACCGAGAGCCACGCGGCAAGGCACCAGCACCGCCCACCTCCGCGACCCTGCGGAACGCGCGCCTGGCCCCGGTGGCGCCGCGTCAACCCCCTGCACCGCCGGTGGCGCCCCAGGCCCGCCCCTCCCCCGCGGCTGGGCCTCGTCCGGAGGGTCGGTCGCAGGACCCGGTTCTGAGAGGTCGCCTGGTGTCCCGGTCCCCGGTCCCCTGGCGCCACCGCGCACCGCTGGGAAGGAAGCTGACGCACAGACCCGAAGTTTTATTTGTTAGCATCACGGGAAACAGACACGAAGTTCAGATTTCGGACACACGCGTGAGAGAGACACAGTCACAGGCACACGGTGGGTGCTTCTGCAGGCGCGGGTCCGGGAGGCCGATGACGCACATCCGGGACCTAAACGTGCACTTCCGGTCCCCACGTAAAGCAGGAGAACTGGAAGCGCGGCTCACGTAAGCCACGTGACCTCTCTCCCGGAGCCCGTGGCCGGGCTCCACTCCGCGGCCTCGCACCTGGAGCGCTCACGGAGGGGGAGGGAGAGAGAGAGAGAGAGAGAGAGAGAGTGTGTGTGTGCGTGTGCGCGTGTGTGTGTGTGTCACGGGGGCGTGTGACTCCCACCCCTGCCCGAGTGCGGCTTTCCGGTGAAGGGGCAACGCTCGCTCTTCTGCACACGGCGCCAAAGGCGCGGATGTGTTTACAGGGAGTTTTAGGGGTGAGCTCGCCCAAAACTGTGCACCTTTACAGAAATCCCCGCAAGCAGGAATCTGCCCACGACCTTGTCTTGGCTGGAAGAAATGGCAGCCACCCGTGCGCGGCGCCCGTCTGTCCTGGGCCTGCGAGTGGGGGCGGTGCGGCCCTCATGCACTACCCCCCCCAGCCCGTGTGGCAGGCCAGCAGCGCCACGCGTCGCCCTGCATCGTGCACCATCGTCCCCGTGCGTCCACCAGCAGCTTTCATTCCAGCCGCAAACCTGCGTCGTGGCTGCTGGCACATCTCCGTCTTTCCAGAGAAAATAATACAATTCAAAGTTGTTTCTTTTCCTCCTTCTTTATCAGAAAGGAAAGTCATCGAGAATTAGATTTTATTTTAGGAGCAAAGTGAGGTTTCACGGGAGAAAAAAGCAGAGCCTGGTGTAGAGGAGGTTTGTTCACTTTCTGAAAGTGCTCATGGGCCTCGATGAGCCTCAGTGGTTGGACCCCTCGGTGGGGCAAGGGCGTAATTTAACTCTGTTCCCGTGTCCCGGCAAAGGTGAGTCGTCTGCTTTGAGAGCCTCCCGGGCAGGTGTGCATCACGTCCTCGTGAATGAAACCCCACACTCTGCCCAGCTGGCCGCGGCCTCTGTTGCCCCGGTGGGAGAGGCGGGTGGCTGGTGGGCGGAGGCCGGGAGGGGCCGGGCCGGGACCCCCCTCCGCAGGGGAGCTGCCTTCCCGCAGCACCTTTCACGCGCGAGCGCGGGCGGGAGACCGAGCGTGCGGGGCCTGCTGCCACTGACACCCTCTCGTTCCTGCCCCCAGTGCCTGTCCTTCAACGCCATCATGGAGGAGCTGGGGATCACACCCAGAAATCAGAAGGAGTTAAAGAGGAAGCCGAGAACTAAGGGGAAACCCTCCTTCACCAGCATCCTTACTTGTCAGCAGAGACGGACTCTGAGGAAAGAGACCGCAGCCTGAGCGGCCGAGCCCCGGGGGGGGGCCTCGGGGGGACACGGTCCTCGGAGCGGAGACTTCTCACGGGCACCCGGCGTGTCTCCGCGTGTCCGCACACACCGGCGGGCTGTGTCCGCAGGCCGGAGGAAGACGAAGCCGGAGAGGCCTGCGCAGCTGCCTCCTGGGAGGAGACACCGCCCTCTGCACGCGAACGAACCCGTGCGCTCACAGGTGTCCTCTCTGGCCCCGGCGAGCGGCTGTGTGTGCTTTCTAACCACGAATAAAACATAGCTTTTTCCTAGAACGAGCCCGAGTGTCGCTGTGTTTCCTGTGACCGGCCCCCAGCCCCGGGGTCCTTGGCTGTCGAGTCCGCCGTCCCTTCTGGCTGAGTTTGCAAATACACTTTTGGTTTATTCCAAGTACCTAGTTGTTATAGTTAAGTGAGACCACTCATCTCTGTGTTTCAACATTTAATGTTATACATAGTTTAAATGGTGCTCAGAACATCAGTGAGCATAAGGTAAAAGAATACTAAAAAGGGAAATTCACTAAAAAAAGTGTCCACCACATTCCGGACCCCGGTCCGAGCTCTGGGGATGGCCCACACAGGCAGCCAGACGCGGCCCCTGCTCTCCCGCAGTTTATGGCAACGCGCAGAGGAGAACCATCCCCTTCCTCGGAGCAGGGAGTCAGAGCGGCCAGAGCCTGGGGGGAGACGAGCCTGGGGGGAGACGAGTCTGGAGTGGGGAGGGACCCCGGAGGGACCCGGTGACTGAGGCCTGGGCTGAGGGGGCGGCAGGGCCGCACGGAGAAAGGGAGCTCAGGGTGGCTGCCACGGTGGTGGGGGGGGCAGGATGCCGCGGGCCGACAGGTGACAGCCAGGCTGGCGGAGAGCGGAGAAAGAGCTCGGGAAAGAAGACCACGGGGAGGAAGTGGGGGTCGCCGAGGAGAGTCTCTCGATAACCCAGAGGACGGAACACACAGCACCCGGATGGGGGGGGGGTTGGGGGGCCCAGGGGTCCTTCGTTGTGTCGGGAACCAAATGGAAAAGCGGCAACACTGGATCAATATCTCAGATAATAAAGTCCCGCTGGTCTCTGTAGGATTACTCCACAATGGAAGGAAACTTCCAATCTAGTCCCTGTGGAGCTGAAGTCCGAAAACGTCTCCAGACACACAAAGAAAACCACCTGTGAAGCAGCAGGAACACTTTGGGCAGGTGTTTCTCTGTGACCGCAGTAAACACTCAGACTCGGGGTCCACCTGAGGTTCATTAACAACGGAGGGAGGACAGAGCAGCTCGTCAGAATGCACGAGGGCCTGGGGCGGGGCCGGGGTGGGGGCACAGCAGCAGGAAGAGCCACACCACAGGCACTGGGTTCCACACCTCCCAGGGCGCCCGTGTGCCCGTGTCTCTCGTTCACAAACACTGCTGCACACCTCCACATCCTGTCACGGTCACGTGTGGGAAACGGAACATGAGTACACCAACTCTTAATGGCTGAAATATATCCATCTGGCTTACAGAGAGTTTGAGGCCCACGAACCACTTTCTTCAGTGACTGACAGCAGGATGTGCATTCAGGGTGTACACCATGTCCTAAGGCTGACTGTGTTTCTAAACAGTGTGTCAGACTGGGTACATGTGCAGAACGTGACATTTTTGGTCAGCCTGCACATACAGTCAGTCACCTCTCCTTCCCCACGTTTCCACCCACGCGGCACGTGTGTGTCCGCGTGTCCACGTGTCTGCATGTCTGCATGTCCACGAGTCTGCATGTCCGGGTGACAACAGAGGGCACTGAGGAGCTCAGAGGAAAAGAAGAAAGCACAGCGTCTCTGGACCCCGGCCCAGAAAAGCCCCCGAGAACACTCGCCAGTCTCCGGGAGCTCCCTCCCTCTCACTCCAGAACCGCGGCTCAGACGGTGCGGGTGGTGCGGCCGGGAGACGCCACGCCCAGCGTGGGCGTGGGAAAGAGAAACGGGAGACCTTACGTGGCAGCCCAGGTAGCCCAGGTTATGTCTCCCAAACAGAGAACCGACACCTGACTCACTCCACTCGGCATTCTGCATTCAGCTCGCCACCTGAATTTCAGACTCTGGGGGACCGAACCTCCTCTCTGGGAAGGGCCCCAAACCTTCGGCGCGGCAGCAGGACTCTGGGTCCCGGGGGGGGGGGGATCTCGGCCTGACTGACCCGGGCGGGGCGGGTGCCCTGCTCTGGCGCGGGTGGGAGTGTCTGCGGGGGCTCTGGCTCCAGGGAGAAAGCTCAGGCGTCCAGACGGGCGTCCTTCCCGCGCACGGCCGGCACCGCCCACCTGCCCAGGAGAAGACACCCTGCGGAGGGGCCCGCCCGGCGCCTGGCCAGGCCGACGGGGACGCGGCGATCCTGCCCCGAGCCCCGTCTCGGTTGGGGAGGGCCGTTCGCTGGGGCCGTCCAGGCCGAGAGGTCCGTCCTGGGGGTCCCGGGGCGTCAGTTCGGACCTGGGCAAGCCAGTGTCCGCATGAGCGTGTGCCGAGCACGGGAGGGTGGGAGAGGCCCGGCGAGCCTCCTGCTCTGGGTTCTTCTTTGGGCTTCCAGAGAGAGGGACCTTATCTGCAGTGCTGAGAACGTCGCAGACGGTTAAAACACTAAATGGTCTTGAAGTTTAATTTAAACTTCCCCGTCCCAGCTACTCGGGCTCGCATCTCACGCCCCTGGAACGATGAAGTGGCCTGGACGGCTTTTGCGTGCAGTGCAGCCTTTTGCTCTCCTGGCCCCCGCCCAGAGCTGCTCCCGCCAGCCGACCTGCGGGCCCCGTCCACGGAGCCACCTGCTGAGGGGAAGGAAAAATTTATTCCAGGATTCGAACAGACGTGCTTGCCTTTCTTCTTAAACTTCTGCTGGAGAGGTGAGGAGGCTGGAGAAATGCGTCACCCCCAGAGACCCCACTGCCATTCTTTGGGGGTCTCTCTCGGAGCCTCACGAAGCGAGACCTCGGGAACAAAGGGCGGGTGCAGAGGGGAGGGGAGGCACAGAGAGGTGATGGGGCCCGGAGGAAGTGGTAGGCAGCAACGCACGGAGGAGGCTGGGTGCATCCTCGGGGGCCGGGGGTGGCCTGCAAACGCCAGCAGTGTGAAATGGGCCAGGGCGCCTCCGTAACCCAGGTGGTGGAAGAGGGCACCCCACCCCCCACCCCACACCCAGCACCCTCCTGCGTCGGTGCCATGCTCTGCAAGACACAGCAACGCCCAGGTGCAGGGGCAGGGGCAGCATGCTTTGCTAACCGTTTATTTTCAATAAACTTCCCACTTGAAACTCTGAAGAAAACCAGCCTCAAGCCTCCCAGAACCACCCCCACCCGCTGCTCAGAACAGAGCCCAGGAGCCCGTCTGCAGGTCGAGGCGGTGTCCCCGCAGGGTCACTAGGACCTCGTCTCCTCACAGCCAGGCACCCCCGGGCGAATGGCCAGCAGAGCAGGAGAGGGTCGTCCCAGAGGCCCGGCCGGGCCGGGAAGCCCCGACATGGCTCAGCGCTCCGGTCCTCGGGGACGGACACAAGGGGACGGGGACAAGGGGACGAGTCTTCCTGAAGGTGCAGCAGGAGCCCGGACAGCCGCAGGGGCAGCGCACGCGGAGGGAAGACGACCACGAGCTACAGCAGGCTCCAGCCGCCTCTGTGCGCCCCCGCCGGAGCCTAGGCATCTGGGACCCCTCCTCGCCGCCCCACCACACGACAGGGGGGCCGCTCCGTTCCCGCCCCCCTCACCGCAGCCCTGCAGAGCCCAGCCTGAGCCCCTCTCACTCACACCTCCCAGGGCTTGGCGGTCACACCAGGGGTAGACGGGAGCCACGTGGTCACTGCAGTGTCCATGGGGGGTGGGTGATGCCCCAGGAAGCGCAGCGTCTGTCCTCACGGCTGCTGGTGTCCAGCTGCTCCGACGGTCCTAGGGGTAGGCCTCTCCAAGGAGACGCAAAGGGGCGTGATGAACACGGACACCCTCCCACCTCCCAGACCCCTGGGGGCACAGACCACAGCGTAAGCTACGGGAAACCCTGCCCGGCACCTCCGGTCCCTTCACATCATCGCAGCCTCCAGGGCTCAGCCCCCCCCCCCCGCCCCTGGCTGCAGCTCCCGGCCGCGCCGTCCACTGTTCCTCCCGGTCCCGCGACCACTGCTGACGACGCCGGCTATCGCCTGCTGTGCACCGGTGACGAACTTCACACCTCGTGACCTTGCTAAACCCTCGGCCCAGCCCCCTGGGAAGGCGCAAGTACTCCACCGTCAGATCATCAACCTCGTGTTCAAATTAAGAAATTAACACAAAGAGAAGTAACTCGTCCAAAATGGCACCACGAATCAACCGTTTGCAGTTAAAAGAAGCAGTCAAGTGCAAAAACGTGGACTGAAGCATTAGAACAGAAATAATCTTAGCTGGCAAATCACCAGCTGGTCCAGGTGGCTTGTCCTCCGGGAAAATCACTCAGGTGTACCAACACGTGTACAAATTCTCTCCAAGAATTCTGCAAACCTTGCAGAGATCCATCAGGTACAAAGACTGGAGACGTTCCACAGTCCAACCGGAACGAGTTCAGGGAAGATTCTGAAAAAGGAGAGAGGCAGCACGCTGGTCTCACTCCAGGACGAAGGCCGCGACGGTCCGCACACCTGGCCCCCGTGCCTCTGCCCCGTCCCGTTTGTCATCCTTAACAATGAAGGAGCCACCTGTTCACCAGCAACACGGGTTGGTTTGGGAACAGCAGAGGAATGCAAAGTATGGCATCTCCCACCGGCCAGCCAGTCCAGAGAACTGGGACCTGGCTGTCACCAGGCTGGGAGGGTGTGGGCAGGGCCTGCATGGAAGCTGGGGGCGGGGGAGGGTGGAGACCGAGGGGTCAGGGCGGCCTGGTCCCCGCCGGCTGGGCTGCTGCTGAGCAGGAGCTCTCCCCCATGCCCGGGCAGGGCCAGGGGCGGGAGGCGCCCCCTGCAGGCCTTCCCGACTCCGTTCCAGCTGCGTTGCCTTCTGTCCACGTCCTCCCGGCGC